AGCTCTTCTGAACGGAAGTCAGAGCAGGCAGAACTAGAAAATGGGAAATTTTATTACCTGAGAATTATTTTGTGCATTAAATTGAATGAACATGGTCTGGATAGCCCACAGACATACCATAAAAATTGCTAGGGCCCATAATTGGTCTCCTTTAAGATTTTCCAGAGCCAACAGACCAAGAAAGGTCACACGGGGGGGAGGTCCTGATTCTTTTTTTGCTTACATTATTTTCCTGCCAATTAACCCCCTTTATAGACAGTTGTCATCTTTAACTGACTCATGATCAGCAATGAAAAATACAAACRTGGCTTCAAGCAAATTCTTGGCTAAAATTATACCAACAATTCTTTTTATTTCAGGTGACCTGCATCAACCTCTTCAGTCTCATCCATCTTCTCCATCTAGACTAACATAGCCTCTAAAGATAAGCTACTGGGTGACCTTCCTCCTCCTCACTGCTCCCACTATCCATTCATCTTCACCGTTTGCTTAAAGATTAGGCAAACTTATCAGCTCCCCTGCCTCCATGTTTCCATCTTGGTGGATTCCTGTGGCAATCTGTTTCGGATAAGCTGCCGTAGAGTGAAAAACAAAAAGGTCGCCTCAGTCTAATTATCACACTAAAACTTTGGGAGAACTCAACGCCTACAGGTCACTTGAATATGCATAGGGCAGTGACTCAAAGGGGTGGAAGCACACCTCGTAATCCCAGGCGACAAGTTCCAGGATGATCCGGACTACCACAGATCACCAGTTGTCATGCCCACCCAGTGACAGAATGTGATTGGATGCAGTGTGTGGGCGTGGATGGATGTAACTTTACTCTCAGCTTTCTGCCACATGTCAACAGTTGCTCTGTCATCTCCAACATACAGAGGATTACAGCCAAACTATTCCTGCAGGCATCATTCAGACAAGTCTCCGACGCTTTCAATACTAAGAAAAAACACTAACGATGCTTTCTACAGTGCCGTGCAAAAATCTTCAGCTACCCTCATTAATTTGCATTTCACTTACAAAGAGCATCTTGTAATATGGCGTCAGTTCTGCAAGCTTCCTGATGGTTTCTTTTGAAAAGGTTCTGTTTTTRCACCAGTCTGTATACATGTTTATTTTCAGAAATGTGCTTTTTATGTGTACGGCCACTTAACACTGGCCTATGAATCATTCCAGAACAAAAAATACACCTAATTGATGGTATAAGCCWGTGTTTTTCCAAGAAAATGAGTAACTTGGCAAAATAACCATCTTATATTGCACTTTTATGCAATTTAGATTGAGCAGCTTGTCACAAAAACACATTTTGTTCTCCAAAAAGAAAGCCAAAAAAGGCAAAAAAAGAAAATGAAAAGAATATATATATTCACTTTGACAAGCATAAATCAGTATTATCTTCAGATACATTCATCTACGTTAGACAGTTTTCAGATGTATCAGAATTTATTTTGTGTTTTACTCGTTCAGTTTTCTTAGCCTTTTTTAAAGCACATATTGCACAGTGTCAAAACATTCCAACTTTATGCTAATGGGTCAGAAAGTTGAAGAAAATGACTAAAAAAAACCTTTATGAAGCTATTGCTTGATATCCCTTTAAAGAAATACAATACAAGAAAGCTTGGCTCTATACGAAGCAAGCTAATAAAATCAACCACACTAYAGACTCCTGATACATGAGATTTCCACAATTCTCTGGGACAGAGAGACAAAAGAAAAAAAAAAGGAGGAACGTGTGACAGAAAAGCTCAGCCAAGGGTGAGCGTTTGTTTTCTGACAACAAACTGCCGTCTCCTAGATGCAGGGCATCAGGCAGAGCTGATTTTAGCCTCTAGGATTCAAAAAAATCTCGAGGAACATCTTGTGATGGGAGATGACAGAAAAACAATGACGTGGTCTCGCAACGAAACCTATCCAGACAAATAACCCAACATGCAGATTTGGAGAGAAGCCTTTCTCTCGCACGGTCACCCAATTATATCTGCTTGGTGACGAATGACAGATCATATTGCAACAGGCTTTGTGAATCCCGTACTTTTGTTTTATTGGCAGATCAGCAAGGGTTTCGTCAGGGCAAGTGGTTCCACGTGAGTCCATGTCCTTGTTTTCTTCCTCTGCTAAAACCTCAGCTCAGAGAGCTCTCAGTGTCACATGACGGGCAAAGACTGTTATTCTACATCTCCAACTGCTGAACTCACGTCTCGCTCTGCACCTACTATAGCTCTAAGTCACCATTTTTGCTTTCCTCTTCACCCAATTCATAAAAACGCTAAAGCCCTGCTCTTCACGATTCAAGTCTCACTTTCTCTTTGACAAAAACACTGGCTGCAGAAGCTGCTTCGGGGCATTTTGATGAAGCAGCATGGTTCTGCGGCACGGTGACTGCAACACTGGCTTGAAGTTTATCTTTATGCATCAAAAGAGCAAGAACAAACAAAGCATGTTGGGTCTTTCCCAGCTACCTGTCCYCGCCCTGTATTTTACATGTCAAACAGGCATATTTATGACATTAATTACCAGAACACTAAAATAGCATAGTCATCAAGAAATGTAGGTTGCAGCTGTTTGGCATCCTCTTTCAACAGGCCTTTGTCAGGGGTAATAGGTTTCACCACAAGATCTGTTCACACACACATGGAGAAAAAAAGTGATCTGTTCATGAGAGCACGTTCACGATGGAAACAGTTAACCATGACTCAGAAGCAAAGAAGTGTGTGGTGTAAAAATGGATCTAAGGTGCACTAAATTTGAAAAGATACTAAAAATACAAATGATACTTGCTATGATGCAATCTGCACCATCAATCAGTCTAAATCAGGCTGATCTCATATCGTCTTGAGGAAACCATCAGGGTAAGCAGGAAGTTCTCTTGAACTCTATCAGTATATCAAGGTAAAAATAGGCCATAAGAGAAAAGAAGAGGTAAATAACCACAGCTGACATGGAGTTACAGACTCAACAGAGACAGAGCACATGAACGGAGGTGGTGACAGTTTTCTGGACTAACCTGGAGTTCACACCATGCCACTTCCACTGTCGTCTCAGTGTCCAGTCCCTTGTACACGGTCTTAAAAGATCCTCTCCCGATCTCAATGTCGAATTTCAGGAAGCGTCCATCTGGAGAAGTCCCCACAGCTTTCGTCTCAGCCTCTTCTATATCCTCCTGAACTCGTTTCTCCGCTTCCCTCTGCTCTGCCCGGGCTTTCGCTAGTACCTTCCCTTCCTCCGTCTCCTTGTCTTTCTCCTCGGTCGGACTACTAACGCTCTCCTCGATCACTTGTTCAATCCCTTTTCCGTCTTTCGACGCCGGCTGCGCCTCCTGAATCCCTCTGGGACGCARTGTAACATCAGATTTTTCACTTATCACATTATCTGTAACATCCAATACTGTCAAGATATGTTCTTTTATCGTCCCCTCTGCGCCGTCAGATTTGCAAGTYGYAGGAACAGCAACTGAGATAACGCTTGCATCGGAATCTCCTTCAGTGTTCTGAACCTGCCTCGACGCAACCGTCCCACTAAGGCCAAGGTAAGGCTGGAGAGTGGCGCCTAGCAGGTAGGACCCTCTCCTGTCGTCCTCGTGTTCGGAGTACCACTCCTCGGACCTACAGAGCTGCGGAGACGAGAAGTTGGGAGTCCCTTCCCAGTCTGGAGGCGAGGTGAGAATCATGGTTGCTTTGCTCGGCAGGTCCAAGGCCGTGGCGTTGGAGTCGCAAATAACACTGCGGCGAAAGAAACGGTGCTCGGCCRTTTTGGAGTCCCTCTCCATCGTGTGGCGCCGCCGCCGCACCTCGGGCTGTACGGCGAGCTTCTCCACGACGTGCGTGTCTGAACTGGCGGAGCCATTCACATTCTTGAGGGRCGTTTGAGGCGACGGACAGGGGGAGGCCGAGGATGTAGGAGGGACCGGGGCAATAAATTTCACAGCTTTGCTGCTGCTTTCCGACATTTTTACACAAGGCTCAGACCACAAGGGAGGAGGAAAACGTGTAGATATAAATAAGGTGAATCCACGGACAAATTGCGTAAACTTTAACTGYGGGAGCAAACCTTTAACTGTAAACTCCTTTTCTGGAATAAAAAGCTCTCRAATTAATGGCGTTTAAAAAATGAAATGAATGCAGCGACTCGTTCTGTTTTGAAGTTTGTAAGGACTTATCAGCTCTATCCTTTGTGCAATTTCAGCTGTTTTAACAAGACAAGCTACAGTTCCTAAAGGGCCCTTCCATACAGGGCTCRGGGTGGCCCCAGGAGAGAGGAAGGGGCTTAAAGATTAATGAGGGGAGGGATGAAAGACAGTCCAACATGAAGMGTTGCAAGCAGTGCAAAGAGCCTCCRCGGGTCAGATCAACACTCGAATCCATCCTGCTGCCAACATCCATWCAGGGACGACTGCAACATGGAAGGACTGGAGATCGGTCAGACCAGTATGACCTCCCAAACAGTTGTGATTTGAAGTTACAGCCTGATAAGAGTCTCGTCTAGTCCTGTTCTGCCTGTTGAACTCCCCCAAGAGGTCGCCGGCCTGTCTGGTTGGGCCAGACGGTAGGACTAGRGCTGGCCTAGCCTGGCCCAGCTTGGTCTGCTTGAGTCCGTGTCACTGGAAATGAGAAAGGAGCAGAGAGAAAATGATTAAAATTTGAGTTTTCCCTTATGTTCCCATTCATTACGTCTATAACTGAACCAACTCAAAAAATACTAACAGATACTTGACTCAGACAAAAATGGTCAAACATACTGTACAAGCTGTGAGGTACTCCTAACATTTTACAGCTGTTTGACCTGTGGTACGATTGGCACAAGGTGGTGCATACATTTCACAAACCTGAGCTCACAGACTGTCTGAGTAAGGTTCCTACATTTCCATGGTTGTTCAATAAACATCCCCCSCAAAGAATCTTAAATAAATTTAATCTAAAAATTACGATTCGCCATCTTATGTTTTTTTTAATGATCTAACCCTTGTGTAGTCCGCAGCAGAGTGATGCAGCCTGGTGTCCGCCTMATTTCTCCATGTTCCAAATTTAGCACAAAGACAGCAGCCTGGCTGACCTCAAGGTTAGGCTACTTGGTGTATTAACATGAGAGAGCAGGAGGGCACTCCGAGCGACATGGGGAGAATTACAGCACAGATACTAAATGCACAGGCGAGGACAGCGCCTCAGAGCATTGCTCAGCATATAGAATTACAGGCAACAGGAGCGGTAAGAAATACGCTTACTGAATTTGCCTTACATAACAACATGCAGATAACTTTTAGTCTTATCGTCACAGGCCCAGAAGGACAGCAGCTGCTTTGGAGCGGGCTTCATGTTCAAAAACATTGAAATTAATGTTTAACGTCTCCTTTTTTTTTTTCCACAGATTTTAAAACCGCTGAGTAATGGTTGCATTTAGTCATCAACGGGTTGGTTCATGAAACCCAAACCTCAATAAAACTGGGTAAATAAATGCGTACAATGCAAATTATTCTTGTGTCAATCAATCCAGCTTGTAAAAAGGTAATATTATATGAAAGATATGCTATAAAGAGTGCAAAAAATCCTAAGTTTTTGTGTTGTAAAGTACAAAAAAAGCCTTTTCAGAAGATACTTCAGCATTTCAAGTTGAAGCTTTTGTTCATTTGGCCTTACCAAACTAATTTATACCACTCTAATTAGGAAAAATGGGTRAAAGACTAGAGCTGAAGTGGCCCTGGTAGCTTCCTAAGGTCAGCCGGTACAATCTGACCACTTGTTTGTGCTTTCCCATGTGTGCTGTTCTCTTACACTTGTAACGCACGGTTTTTTTTTAAATTAGTGTGGCAGAACAATGCAGATTGTGCAGGCTGCCCTTGAGGGCAAGAGAGGCTATTTATTCCAGCAGATGTCTCTCACATCGCCCAGGTGTGCGATCCTCTCTCGTGAACGACTCCGCAACTGCGATGAGTCGACGCAGGCTGAGGAAGACGGGCGACTTAAGAATGACAGCGCTGTTCTCAATGAAGTGTGTCAGAAAACAAACCCTGTGTGATCGGTGCATGACTCATCTGTGCATTAGGATTAAACAGGAGCACAAGGATGCACCTGACAGTTTAAAACGTTGGCCGACATTAAAACTGAATCACACCCCAAACACATATGACTTCATGATGAAACTCTGACATGCAAGCTACAAAGACTTGGCCATGATGATTTCACAGGAAAGTGCTTTAATCTGAAAGGAGGTGTTTGTGTTTATGTTTATGGCAGGGGTGGGACAACAGTGATCAAACATTAAATGCACCACCTTTGATTTTGTTATTAGGAATCATGCAACAATCTTTGCGGTACATTTTTATTGCACAAGAGAAAAAAAAACAGTTAAAATCAGCTCCGGGCGTGCAATAAAATTAAATAACATTGCTGAAAGAAAAGTCTGTTGGCAGAATCAAGGCATGACAGAATAAATCAACAGTGCAACTTATAAAGTTTGTTATAAGAATTGATACTGATTGGATGAAACTGCAAAAGCTGACAGTAAACAAAAAAAAAACTCAAAACAAAAGAGTTGGAGGGGATTATGACCAGATGCATGTCAAGATTCAGCTGAAAACACACACACACACACACACACACACACACACACACACACACACACACACACACACACA